GTACCTCGGGTTACAAATTTAATCTGTTCCATGACTCTGGTCGCAACCCAATTTGTTCGCAACCCGAAGCAAAATGTCCCATAAGGTTCAATGCAATTACCGTTAATCTGTTCCGGCGGCCGCGGACCACGCGTCAAGGGCAGAAAAATGGCCGTGGACCGTGCAGCAGGGCGGAAAAACGGCCGCGGACCGTGCGGCAGGGTGGAAAATGGCCGTGGACCACGTGGCACAGGCGGAAAATGGCCGCGGACCACGTGTCACGGTGGAAAATGGCCACGGATCCGGTTCATACCTCGAGGCGGAGTTCGCAAACCGAGGTAAATTTTTGCAGCCAGAGCTGGCCGTAACCCGAAAAGTTCGTAAGCAGAGGCGTTCGTAACCCGAGGTACCACTGTATTTCATCTTAATAAAGAGTTTTAAGAATTCTTTTTTATTTGATTTGAAACAAATAATTCTTTCTCCTTTGCACATTGTATGAGTTTATAGTTCTGAATATAAAATATTAATACATTAATTAGAATATGCTTTATATTATGCTATGGGAAAGTCTTGTTTTTGTAAATGTGACTTTACTGCTGAGTGTGCTGGCCTATCCATTTTATTAATACATGCTGGTTGGCAAAACAAAAAAACCATGGTGACCACTACAGTATAATGAAGTTTAATAAAACAAGTGTCTGTTTATAGTAATCAACTTCCTTTACTCCAATTTTCTTACAGTTCTTCTTTAGTCCAAAAGGGTGGCTTATTTTGAAACCTGTTGTTTTTGATTTTGGCATATTTTTTATTGTCATCTACTAAATATAATTCATTAAAAGATGAAAATCATCTCCCTGTACATGTATTATAAAATAAATGTTACCTTCCTACATTCAACCAAAGGTCCATCCAGTCCAGTCTTCTATTTTTAATATTAACAGATGCTCCCGGAATGAAAGTCGTGGCTACTGTCTGAATCTCCCTTGAAATGTGGCATGTGGTCACACTGCCTCTAGGCACAAATACCAAGATACTTATGTTTGCTACTATAGCCAATAAATGCTGATAGTCATTATCCTCTACAAATCTGCCTGTGCAATTTTAAAGACATTGGGTTTTCCTACAAATTCATGACAGCAAAGTAGTTTTTTGCTCTGAGAAAGGGCTTCAAAATATCAAATGGAAACAGCTATGTTAGGCTTTAGTAGTAACATTTTTTTGTTACTTCTTTGTTGTGGCAGTAATATTATTTAATCTGTGAAAATAAAATCAAGTCTTCTAAAGACAAATTTGACTCCTGGTGACTTTAGGAACATGTTCATATATTTTCTCAGAAACAATATGAAGATAGTGTGCCACTATCTTCATCTTTTTTTTCCACCTGTCTAAACTACTGCCCTGTGATTTCCTGGTAGTCTCCCATTGTTGCAGCTGCCAAGTTCAATGCAGGTTAGCTTTTAGCTTTTTCATAGTCTGTCAAGGTCAGGAAGGTTAGCTAACTTCTAACTGTCACATGCTGTAATAACCATCAGTTAAAATATGCCCATGCTGAAAAATAGTTTTGTTGCATCATTTAATGGGTAAAGTTTATTGTTAAAAGTGAACATGATTAAGTTAACAGATATAGCCTTACCCACTTCTAAAAGCATTTATGTTATTTATAATTACAGTTCATTTACATTACACCTATTATTCTTGATGTCAGTGATATTTCAGTAGATTCTTTAAATAAAATTGCCTCAAGGTTACCCTTACTAAACAATCCAGTTGAAATAGATAGCTGTCAGAAAGGTTTTCTATTACTGTTGATAGTAATGGAAAAATGTATTTCAATATTTATTCTTTGTAAACTTCTGAGCTACATGAAAGGATTTCTTATTGCTTTACCACAATTGCTTCACTTCCCTATGTACTGTATATATAAGATAATAAGGTATGCTTATGCTAACAAATTTTGTATGCTTTCATTGTATTACCCTCTAGTTATAAAATTGATGTATATAAAATTGATGTATGTAAAAAGCCAATGTTAGAAACTAACCCTAACGAACACATGTCCAATATTTAACAGTGAATCACTCAAATAACTCATTTTCATAGGAGGGTATTAATTATCATTAATAATTATTTTAATTATTAATCATGCTCTAAGACCATGGAATTCACATTTTAAGGTCCCCAATGACACTCTCGGGCTTCTAGCACTTCTCTAAGGTCCTGACATTAGAAAAAAGAACTCAGTCAGTGCTGCACATTGCTAGCTTCATTGTAGCAAAGTCCTGGTAAATACATTTCCTTTTGAAATAAGAGCAAGGAAAAGTCCTCCTGCAAATGAAATGTTTCAGCTTTAAATTAATACTATGCACTGAAACAGAAAAGAGTGAAGCCAGCTATTAAATGTTTACCTCTGATGATCTCCAGTTCACATAATATTGACTAATCAGAATAAGGACTATGTGTAATTCTCATAAACATCATCACTACTTATTCAATACATGTAAGACCACAGTTTTGTATTCTAAGCTATAGCCTGCATGTTATAATCTTGTCTGAGAAAACATGCTAGTAGCAAATGGAAACTTATGGCAGAAAGTGTCAGAGCAGTTGAGCAATGAGTGGTCACACTTCAACTGATGTGAGAGGGTAAGACTGATCAAATCAAAGAAAGGAGGTGCTACAACAGGAACCCACAACAGAAGCAACTCTCCATAAGAACAATCAAACAAAGAAGCAGCCCAATGGACAAGAGTGACAATGAGTAAAAGAGACATAGAAGATATTCTGCATGACTGGAAATCCAAATGAGCATTCAAGCCCTTGCAGAATAAACAGTCTCTTTGAAGTTTCAGGGAAAGAAATGAGACCTTGTGAAACAAGAGAAAGGGAGGAAGAGTTATACTATGTGTTATAGATAACTACTGCAGCTCATAAATCCTAATTAATGAGCTTGGCAATGTTGTAGAAAGCATCTGGATTAAAAAAATGTAGAATAAAAGCACTACTGTTCTTGATGTCTATTGTCACTTGCCCAGTCAAGGAAAAGGCGCGATGCTTTCCAAAAGCAAATAACAGACATTCCAAAGAGGGAAGAAGTGATGGTGGAGAATGTAAACTATCCCTGTATCTTTGTTTCCCTAAACTCTGTAGGAAAGCACAAGAGGATATTCTTCACTTGGATACTAACCGAACAAGGAAGACTTAGTAAAGGAAGCAGAAATTATAGGAACACCAGAGGGAAATTGCAATGTGATGATGGAATTCTTTACTTTTTAAGGAAACTAAAGCTGAGTGTAGTCAAACAATTTTGCTGAATTTCAAAACAGTGGATTTTAATAAAAATTAAGCAATAGTAACTGGATTCCATCACATGAGAATAGGACAAGAAGTTCAAGAGGAATGTGAGTCCCTAAAAAAGAGGATGCTAAAGACACAATTAAAAATGATTCCAATGGAAGACAAAATGGAACACAACAGAAGAAGCCAAGCTAGCCACACAAAAAGCTTACTGAAAATCTAAAAACAAAAAAAGGACACATATGTTTAGCATGTGACAAAAAGAGCCAAGGTCCTAGTCAGATTTGCTCACTGTTAATTTTACTAATTTAGAACTATTTTAATCCAGGATAATCTAGGAAATTGATTTACATATTGATTTAGGTGGCGAGAAATCTCTAAATTAACAGAGGACTTATTTTCTGCTACTACAGTATTTACTATCAATATGAAATTATGGTGCCAGCATTGTAAAGATACTGAAATAACGGTATGTGATTTTACTCTTTCTTTCCTCTCTTATGCCTCTCCACCTTTAGGCAGCAGCTGGAACTTCTCATTTAGGCCAGATTAGCATTCCTTTGGCACTCTCTGAAACTGAATGTTTGTTTCTATAGCAACAGCTTTCCCAGCTGTTACAGAAAAAAAAATTACATCATGAAGTTGCATCCAGCCTTTCCTCTCTACTGTTCTCCTAAGATTTCAGGAGATTAACCTTTTAAACTAAAAAGAAAACTAGATGTTACACAGATACATAGCTGTACAATATACTTCAACTAGCTGCTATCAGGTCTGTTGGCAAATGGCTGAAGTGCCCTAGTAAGTAGCAGTAATGATGCCAAAACCTCTGAAGAACAGCACGTAAACTATCTGCTCTATTTACTTCAGCCATTTGAGACTGCTTGAATACCAAATGACCCAGGTGAGGATTCATTTTATGTTATACATGTAAAAATAGATTCAGAAAAATTTATCAGCTGTATGGATGCTGTGTAGTTATTACTGAAATCTTAAATAGTGGAGTACTAAACATTTGGCTGTTTCTTTCAAGGGATACTTGCAATATTGATTTAATACAGAATTTATCTAAACATACAAAATAAAAAAATTCTACACATTTACCAAATAATTTTCACTGCAATGAAATGCCATTAATTATCCAACCTGGGTAATATGTATTTTAAGCAGAAACAGACTAAATCTGTTTTTCAGTTTTTAGAAAAAAACAATGAGACTACATTTGACATTATCAAACACAATTCACATAGTTCTAAAGAATTAAGTGTCAGTTCCTTATAACCCTTCAAAAAAGGCATGTGAAGAATTATCCAGAGCAGGAGAAAGCAATGTAGTACTCTACATATATTTTGAACTATAATTTCTCATACACCATAGTCAGCATGGTCAATTCTTAGGAAACTATACTTCAAAACAACTGGGTGCAATCAAATTGTTTAACTGTGATCAGCAGGGAAAAAAATCAGTAAGTCTTCTCAGTATAGAAGCAAAAGATACTTCGAAATCATATTTATTCAATTATGGTCTTGGCTAAATAAGGGTAACTGCTTAAAGAAGACTCTAGACTATTTTAATTATCACAGGGTAACATTTTTCTCCAATTCACAATCAATGGACTTCTACTGGATGTTAACAAACTAAACCATCTCTTCCATCAGCATACTAAAAAAGCTAAATTTCTTTCATATTTGTCATTTTTAAAAAATAAGTTTGAAGACCAAGATTTCACCACTGAAATTCTTACACTTCCAAAAAGAACAGAGAAAGAAATCTTCCCTCTCCTATATATACTTTAGGATGATGCTACTTGGTGGGATGTGGGAGGCTTTTTTAAACTTGATACTACATTAGAGAGGATTTCCAGGAAGTAGTAATCCAATCACTTGGAGCACCACTCCCAGAAGTAATTTTTTTAAAAAACCTGGCCTAAGTCATGTTACCAGCCTATCCCAAAGAGCAATTACTGTTACCATAGTTCTTAAAGTAAAACAAAGTAACCCTCTCAGAATAATCCAACAAATTCTTTCTGACAATGTAAGACTAATGTCAACAGAACAGGCAGATCTATTTCCACGGTCCTCCAGATTTGATGAATTGGAAAGATTCACTTAGGCCATTTACTTCTGTACAGCAGAAATCCAAATGAATGCATCCCCAAAAGATTACTGCCCTATCTACTTTTGAACATATTATAATTGTGGTTCCCTTCATTTAATAAGTATAACAGGAGTAGGAATAAATTTAACAGATTACTATTTCTCTTTCTGTATAAATTTGGCCATTTGAATAAATTACAATATAGTAAACTTACATTGTGAAATTTAGAAGGCAGCCCAATGTAATAAAGACTCTTATTACATTGGGCGACATACAACATTAAAAACAGCAGAACAATAAAACAAGGGAAAGAATTATGTTCTTCTGTATCTGCAAGACGAAATAAAGAGCACTGTATTTATTTCTTGGGACACTCCTGACTATTTCATAATTTCATAAGAAAGGGACTTTCACCCATTTAATGTCAGCTATCCCACTTCAGTTAGGAGTGGCTTTTCTGAGTCATCAGTTTAGTTTCATTCAACTTGTTTTGCACTGAGTAGAACTTTCAGAATGTGCAATGAGATCAGTCTATTTTGCAAGCCTCAGACATAATTATCTTTCTCTTACGTATTTTTTTTTTTTGCCCCAGAGAAAAAGGACTTTGCTCTCTAGTAGCACAAGCAGGTCAACATCTAAAACATCTATACGCTACTAAAACTATTTATCTATTTGTCTGTCTGTACCCTCAAGTTAGCCCAAAAGGTGGATTATACTGCAACAATTTTTAAATCAAGGTACCTAAAGACTGCTAACTTAAGGAATGCATAAAAAATCCAGGACCCATTACTCCTGTGTAACTGAAATTTCCACAATGTTCAGACCAGTTTTATTCGCAGCTGTGGCCATTGCAGCATCCCCACAGTCACATAATTGTGATTTCTGACACTCCCTGCCAGCTTCCCATAAGCAAAGTCAACAGGGAAGTCAGCAAGAAGTCAGAAGTCATTCCTGCTCCCACTGTTTTTTTGCCCGCTCGTGGTCATTTTGTTTATCTGTTTAGGTAAGTAAATATTGACTTATTATTGAAGTTCATTTGCCACTACAATTATTTTTCTATTTATGATATATACTCTTCTTAGATGATTTATTTCTTTAGGCAATTTCTATAGCTGCCCATCTCAATTCAAGTTACTCTGGGCGGTGAACAATTTCAATAATTAAAACCATTAAAACCATTACAAATTATACATATAGGCAGCCGAGAATTATCATAAAAATTACATAAAAATCAACAGTGCAACCAGGTAACAGAGCCCTTAACACTTCTGGGACCCCAGGCTCAGACACACAGCCAGGTTTTTAAAGCCTTACGAAAAGCTAGCAGTGTTGGGGCCATCCTGAGCTCCAAAGGAAGAATGTTACAAAGGGCAGGGGCTGTGGCTGAGAAGGCACAACTTCTAGTCCCCGCCAGCTGACATTCCTTGGCTGATGGGATTTGCAGCATCCCCAATCTACTAGACTGAATTGGATGGGTAGAAACTATTGGGAGAAGGTAGTCCCTTAGGTAACTCGGTCCCAAGCCATGCAGGGCTTTAAAGGTGACAATCAGCACCTTGAACTGTACCCAGAAACACACTGGTAACCAATGCAAGTCCCGAAATAGTGTTGTTACATGTGCCATATATCCAGCACCATTTACTACCCATGCAGCCACATTTTGCACCAGCTGAAGCTTCCGAATGCTCTTCAAGGGCAGCCGCACGTAGAGCACATTGCAATAATCCAAATGGGAGGTAATGAGGGCATGAGTGACTAAGAGGAAAGCCTCCTGGTCCAGGAATGGGTATACCTGGTACACAACCAGAAGATGTGCAAAGACCCCCTTAGCCATGGTTGCCACCTGTTCTTCGAGCAGGAGCTGTGAGTCCAAGAGGACTCCCAGGGTGCACACCAGGTCTGTCTAGGGCAGTACTACCCTATCCAATACCAAAGATGAAAAAACCTTGTCTTCAGGAGGACCAAATGCTCAAAGCCACTCCGTCTTGCCTGGATTGAGTCAGATCCCACTGTGCCCCATCCAAGCCTCTATGGCCTCCAGACACTGGGATAGGGCATCCACGGCATCAATCAATGGGCCTGGGGTGCTGATATATAACTGGGTATCATCTACATATGATGGTACCTCACTCAAACCATTGGGTCCCCTCACCCAGTGGCTTCATGTAGATGTTAAATAGGAGAGGAGAGAGAACTGAGGCATCCCACACAATAGGGGCCATGGGCTGGATCTCTCCCCCTCATCGACACTGACTGAAATCGACCCCAGAGGAAAGAAGAAAACCAAGACAGCACAGTGCCACCTACCCCCCAACTCCAGAAGCAAATTCAGAAGGATACCATGATTGATGGTATCGAATGCCGCTGAGAGGTCAAGAAGAGCAAAGATGGATACACTACCCGCATTGGATGCACTACCCCCTTGGGGGAGATGGCTGGCATATAAATTTAACAAACAAATACATCAATCAATCCTGGATTGAGTTGGCATACAAATTTAATAAACAAACAAACAAACAAACAAATAAATAAATCCTGTTCCTGCCAAAGGTCATCCAAGAGTGTGATCAATGCCGTTTCAGTTACAAAACCTAGCCTGAACCCTGACTGAAAGGGGTCCAGATAATCCGCTTCATCCAGAGTCCTCTGCAACTGCCACGTTACCACTCTCTCCACCGCCTTCCCTAAAAAAGGGAGGTTAGAAACTGGACAAAAGCTGTCCAGATCAGTTGGGTCGAGCAAAGGCCCCTTAAGGAGGGCCACACCACCGCCTCCTTAAGAGCCAGTGGAACCACTCCCTCCTTTAACAATGAATTGACCACTACCCATACCCAACCATGCATCCCCTCCTGTGCAGCTTTAACAAGCCAGGAGGGACATAGATCTAGCATACAAGTGGCCGAGGTAGCAGCTGTAAGGGCCCTGTCCTGGCATTCGAAGGTGAATTCACGAGTGATTTTATCCGCCAGATGTCTGGCGTATTCTTCACAGCAACCCTGTAGGTGAACTTCAGTATTATTCCCTTCTAGGAGGGACCGAGTCACCCAGAATAGGGTCACTGGATGACTATCCAGACATAATAAGGGCAGAGAAATAATTAGTTTCGCTGCCCTTACCACCATGAGGTAGGCCCTAATAGCAGCTCTAGCTCGTGTTCAGTCATCTTCGCTCCCTGTCTTCCACCAGCAGCATTCTAGGCATCTCTTATAGCCCTTTTTAGCTCTCTCAATTCTTCTGTATATCATGGAGAACTCCGAAAACCATGGGTATGGAGAGAATGCTCAGGCGCAATCCAATCCAAAGCTGCAGCCGCTCTTTCATTCCAGGCAGTCACCAATGCCTCAGTAGAACCAAGTAGCAGACTTTCCGGAATAACCCCAAGCTCTCTCTGGAACCCAGCTAGGTCCATTAGTCACCTGGGATGGGCTTTCAAATAGGCCCAGCCTCTCTGCAGAGAGGGGTGGCACCAGAGAATTGGAGGCTCACAAGACCATCCAGCATTGGGGTAAAAAAAACATGGTCACCCTAAAATTTAATGTTCATTCTGGTCACATCAGACTGCACTACTTTTCTCTCAAACAATGACCCAACGGATCACAGGGTTGTCTAGTTTCTTCTGAAATCAGGCTACAAACCCTTTGGAAAGATCTGTAGATCAGCCACAGAAAACTGACACTGTATGTTGACAAGGTGATATCAGAATATACCATAACCTTCCTTCCACAGCTGTTCTGCTATTACAATGATTAAACTAAGTGAGAAGACAGATGTCATACCTTCTTGAACCCAATACTCAAGAGTGGGAACAAGCAGCCTGCCAAAATGCTAGCTTAGTTCTAAAAAGATCCGAAATTATCTCTATGTAGGCACAAAATCAATGACTGCAGTGACACAAAGATAGCAAAAAAGTGATAAAGTCTCACTGCCTTAAGGACAAATTACATCAAGTTATTCCTCTTCTTCTCCCACCACTTTTGCATGTATATATTTGAAAAAAAAAATCATCCTGTGGCTATCAGTGCAAACCACTTGTATGGCCTGAATTTCTTGGATATCCCTATAGCAACGCGTCTAAGGATCTTGCAGACACAGCATACAGACATTTCCCTAATCCAGGACTAATACCAGTTATGAGGCTTCTGTTATTTTGGACAGAAGAACGTGCTACTGAAACAGGTTTAACTTTACACAGCTGAAAAAACAAGATAGTTGGGAGTCTGCTTTATATTCTTGAAGAAGCTACATGTGGAGACTCAAGTAGTACTGCATACAAGATAAAAGCTAGGACGTCTAGTCAAAAAATGGCAACAACTAGCCACAGTCAAAAACTAGAAGTCTAAACAGCTTTAATTTGTTATACATTTTGACTGAATTAGATATAAAAGTTGTCACATCCATAACTCAGAGGACATGAATGGATTTTTTATTTATTTATTAATCACATTTATATGTCCCCCATCTCGCAAAAAGTGACTCTGGGCAGTGTACAATAATCAATAAAAACAACAAATATATAAAAACATTATAAGAATATAAAAAGTCATTATTAAAAAATGAAAAACACTAATAGAAGAAAATATATGTAGCTCAGGGTTAAACTGTTTTAACTACCCGACTAGGTAAGATTTTCATTGAACATCTAGATAACATCTTCACTTTACTGAAGATGTTACCTAGTCAGGTAATTAAACGTCTGCAAGAAAACAACCAAGCTCAGAGAACCCCAAGGACTCCACATGAAAAACACTATAACAAATTTAAAATATACAGACCACAAGGACAGAGTAGAAAGATCAACCACAGTGGAGCCATCTAAAAATGTCTGGTTCCCTGGAGCCCCCAGGCCTGGGGATATAACCAGGTCTTGAGGGACTTCTAGAATGATAGCTAAACTGACTTTGGGGGGGGGGAGGAGAATGTTCCATAGGGTGGGTGTCACGGCAGAGAAGGACCACCTCCTGGGACCTACCAAATGTAGGTCCCTGGCAGATGGTACCTGCAACATGCTTTCTCTGCCAGATCTAAATCTATATAATTTTGCTTTTCCCTTTTTGCCAGCAAGATCATATCTCCATTAGGCTCTTCTCTTAAAACTGCAGGAGTCAAGGGAAGAAGAATTCAGGTTATAACCATAGGAATAAGAGTCCACCAATAATCATTCAAAGAAAAGAACAAGTCTAAAACGGGATATAAATATTGGCTGTTTAGTTTCAGCTTGGAAATGATCTTCCTCATCTACCTTTTGCCTTTACCTCCTTCACTGATGTAGAGGCCTCCTGATAAGGCCTGTTGCTCTTACTGATATCAGCCACCTTGACAGATTTCTGAAAATCAGAATAAAAATATAGTCACTTAATGAATAAAACATAGCAAGGCACTGGATCTCTTCTATTCAGTATGATTGATTTAAATGTGTGGGAAGGCGCTGCCTGATGTAGCATTAAGGTGCTGCCTGATGTATTATTCTAGGACCCACCTAAATTTCTGCAAGGAACCAGTCATGCAAGTTAAAAAAATATAGATATTTTTTTACACTCTATCTTTTGAAAAAGCCTTCAGGGCCACACAGAATCTCAACCACCACACCCAAAGTGAGTATCAAGAAAGTAAATGTTATAAACTGGGGGAAAAAATCCTCACTGTAAGTAAGGTATCTCAGATACTGCACTATCTATAGGATAGTTGAAGTAGCTACATATTAACTCACTGTAATGTCAAGCAGAATATAACTTGAACCTACTATCTTTAAATGCTTCAGAGATCATCAGTTTTTGGCTGATCCTAGTAGACAAGCCAAAAATTATAGCTGGCAGCTGCCTGTGTCCTATCAAACAGGCAGTCATAGAAGTCTCTGCACTGTCCTTTTGTGCAGGAATGTAACAATGCCAATGAGAACCAGTTTGGTGTAGTGATTGAAGGCACCAGGCTAGAAACTGAGAGACAGTGAGTTCTAGTCCTGTCTTAAGGCACAAGCCAGCCAGGTGACTTTGGGCCAATCTTAGCCCTAAGAAGAAAGCAATGGCAACCTACTTCTGAAAATGTTGCTAAGAAAACTGCATGGGCTGGCAGTCGCCAGGAGTCAAGATTGACTCAAAGGAACCAAACATAGCACCAAAAACAACAATATAATGACAATGTTAGTTGCTGCTGTACAGTAATAGCCAGGGTAGCCAGTTATGAGTACCAAGATATACTGATAGCATTATCATCTTCACAGGGAAACATGGCATAGAGGACTGGCTTTGGTATGTTCTGTGCAGGGATGCTACATGACACTCTGCAATAGGAGCTATGAAAACCTGAACTACTCTTTTTCTCATGCAGGTTTGACCCAAGCTTGCAAATAATGCACAGATAAGGTTACTTGCCTCCCAATATAGTTTTTGCTTGAGAAGAGACAATGACCAGCTAGCTTTGCATTTCAGTTACGTAGTTTACACAAAAAAATACAAAATATATAAAGCTGACATATTTAAAAAGGATAGACAAATCAAAGAGCTACAATTCATCAAGTCAAGAAATTCAGCAGCCAGCAAATTTTGTACCACCTTTCTACCCTAGCCTCTTGTAAATTTAAGTACCATAAGATCTCTAGCCATAAATTTTTTTTAACTCTTAGAGTAGGCCTTATCGAATACAATATATTCTGCATTTATTAGCTATAACCAACAAAGGGCTTAATTATGCAGAAGTATTGGAGATTCTTGGGGAGTTAATTTGGCATGTATTTTTAGACAATTGAATCAATGTTTCTTAAATTAATAATTGGTTCAAAAAGTTCATAAACTTTACCTTTCAAAACATTACCTTTATTATCAAAACTTGCATATAAAAACATATCTAAGTTCATAGAAATAGTGTATTTTACATTAACTGTACAAATATGCATGTATTACAAAAATATTGTTCCAAATCAATACAAATTACCATTTTTTTAAATGCAAGGGATACAGAAATTGGATGTAATAAGCTTGTGAATCCATTTCCAAACTAAAAATCAACTGAAAATTGAGTCAGCTATTTATACTGATACCAGCACCATGAATTGGGATTTCAAACCTGACATAAAGTTTGTTTTACATACATACATCACTTTTAAGATCAGCAACAGCTATTACGCTCTTGCAGTAACCATACAAACATCTATAGAAAATCACAAGCGTGTCATGAATGCAATAGTGTCAAGCTCATTTTCTCAGCAAGTGTTATTTAGAGATATACTTCCTCCAGTTTAGAAGGTAATACATAATTATTATTAGCAGGAATTCCTAGCTTTTTCTTCCATGGCTTAATTTAATCCTCTTTTAAAATAATTCACATAAATGGCAATATTTCATATTGTGGCAACATATTTTATAACTTATTTATGCATTATATTTTACAACTACCATAAACTGCTTTAGGACTGTTTAAATTCACCTCTATTGGTACTGTTTAAATGATTCGAAATACAATCAATAGCTCACAAACAGTATTCAGACCCTTACAAAAGAGTACAGGTAGTCCTCACTTTATGACCCTAATTTGGACCAGCAACTCCACCACTAAGCGAAGCAGTTACTAAATGGGAAATCACATGACTGTCACTGTGCTTTGCAGCTGGAAAGAGACAAGACTACTCAGTTTCACACCTTTGACTTTTATTTGCCTCCTAACCACTCTCCTGCCCTCTGGCATGCTCAACTGCTTGCATGCTCTCTTGTACATATTGAAAGCAAGGCAATCGCACCACAGCCTGGGGTTGGGAGCCATGGGCATGCTATGCAAAGGGGCTTACTCACTTGAAATTCCTTTTTCTCCAATGTCTCCATTCTGTGGGGCGGGGGGGGGAAGCAAGTGGTTTCTGTAAGTAGGCTATCTTTGCCTAACCTTTTCCCACTACTGGCGTAATTGCATTGCTCTCAATGTGCAATTTGTTCAATTTTCAATGAGCAAACAGCTTACTTTCTTGAAATCTCTCCCTCTCCAATCTCTCCACTTGGGGGAGGAGGGTCATATAAAGGAGATTGCCTACCAAAATCACTTGTCTTTTCTTCCCCGCCCAACAGAGCGGAGAGATTGGAGAGAAAGAGATTTCAGGAGAGTACTGTAGGCTGTTTGCATAGTGTGCCTGCGGCTGCCAGCCCCAAGATGCCAGCTGGATTGCATCGTTTTCGATGCGTAGAAGATCAAACAGCTTACTCTCTTGCAATCTTTTCCTCTCTAATCTCTCTGCTCTGCAATGGAGGAAAAGAAGAAAAAAACACAAGTCAGGCATAGGACAACATGTACTGACTGTAATGGCAATCACATGATTGAGGGACACTGAGAAAGTCATAAATGGGCTGTAAAGTTACTTTTTCAGCACCGTCATAATTTCAAATGGTTGTTGAATGAATGGTCAATAAGTGAGGACTACCTGTAATCAGGGGAAGAAAAAGACTCCTTGGAACAGGGGACAAGATAGCCAACCCTGGAAGGCCAGAAGGGGTGTAACTGCCCCTGTAAGAAAAGAAGAGTCATGATAACTGATGACTCTTTATTTGCTTATTTAAATTATTTCCCAGAGGTTTTAAAGTGGAGTTGATGTGCCTCATCAGTTGGGCCCTTTTACAAACCAACTCTACCTCCAGGGTTCCTCCTAAAATTTATTTCCATAAAGCAGTCCTAAATAAATGAATGAAGCACTTAGCACTGATATTTGAAAAAAGATTTATGTATAGCACGTTGTAATCCCAAGATTCTTTCTTGTTGTTCAGAAGTAGTCCGGTCATGAGTGGGCTTTTTTTTTTCTCATGCACAGGTGGTCCGCACTTACAATGAAGTCCTCTCTGGAGAGTATGGTAGGCCAAGCATCCTCCACTTCTCTTCTTTCCACTCATCCTCCTTGTAGCCAATACGCTTGCAATCCAAAGCAAACTTTTGTTTTAGCCACTATAGTTGGTAACTCATTGGTTCAAGCAGTCTCTCTCAACCTTTTCACTCTGGAGGAACCCTTAAAATATTTTTCAGGTCTCAGGGAACCTCTGCAGAAAAATCTAAAACAACCCGAACACTTCACAATACAACTCACTTCTAACCTACACAATCCACATTTACAGTGTTACAACAGCAGCAAAGTGGCAGGCTAGCAGCTGAGTCCTGGCGCATAAAAATTCCCACCATTGCAAGTGCTAGCATTGCGTGACATGGAAAATTAATTTTTTTTTTTCAATCACGATCTCTCATGGAACCCTACAGTTCTGCAGCTGAGAAAGGCTGGGCTATAGTGTTAAACATATACAACCAACAGAAACACTTAACCTGAGTATCTGTCAATATATTGCACACACTTCCTAGTTGGTGCTATGCAGACAACAGCATGTTGGCTTGCAAGATAGACTCTAGAGATCCTAGTTAGCACAGAATATTGTAAGCATGCTGAGAGTATAATTGAACTCAAATTGCACTAGTGGCATACTGCCCACAATTAGCAAAGGTCACAAATGATTTTTTTTATTAAAGCTTTTATTAAAATATATAAAAAGTACAGTTAAAATACAAATCAGAAAGTATAGAAAAGAAAGAAAATAGAACTAAAAGAAAAAAACTAAAACTAAAATAGTGAGAACAGATAGAAAGATGAAACGAAAAGTGACTTCTAACTATCTCCAATACAGATATAAGTACAAATTAAAAAAAGATTAATATCTTACCACTAATTAATCCAAGTTCACATTATTTCTATTAACACAAACCATCTCATTAAATCCCACAATCAAAGCGTCATTTTTTCCCAACCCAAGCACGTAATCTAGGAAGGGTTCCCATGAGGAGGCAAATTTAGAAATAGTATTATCTCTTATTAAACCTGTTAACTTCGCCATTTGAGCTAAGTCCATTAATTTGATAATCCATTCTTCCACTGTAGGTATTTGTGAGACAAATGATATGTTTTGACTATGAGACAAATCATTGTTAGTGTCAAGAGTGAACTGGGGAAAAAAGTGTGCACTGAAGAAAAGGAAAGAAGAGAAAGAAACTAGAGTAGGGCTGCAGGGAGAGAAAGTACAACTCCTTAATCCTGTTGTTCAGTTTTTTGTGGAACAAATAGTATTTTGTTGGAGAAGACTAAACCTAATAGAAGTTGAGCAGCTCTGACTTTTCTTTGTTACCTGTTAGCATTTTACAGCTGATACATTTATTTCCTCTTTAGTTTGAACTTTTCTAAAGCAGCTCTTCTAGTTATCCTTAGCATCCTCAGAACAAGGAGTATGACAGCATGAAAGATCCAAGCAGTTGTATCTGACAGGAAAAACTGAAGGAATTTTTTAATTCTGTTTACTTACATTTAAAAAAAAAAAAAAACTAAAATATGAAAATACTGGTAGAAAGCTAGTGGTCCATTTTGAGGAATGAATATTTGTTGAAATTAACTGAAAACAGCTGTTTAGAAGATTAGGCTTCTGTCCACTTTGTTATAAGGAAGTGAGGTTTGTTTATGCCAGGAGAAACAAAAGTTGAATGCAGCAGGAAATGGGTTACTTAAGAATTGTGTGTGATAAATAGGAGATGAGGGGCACACATGAATAATGAATTAATATGGCCTTAATATAAAAATGAGTGATCAGTAGAAAGAATTACATTCAGTTACTTTGATCATATAGACAGAATGAATGAGAATCAAATCATAGATCAAAATATATGGAGGGCAATGAATGGGTTGGAAGGCAGGAGAACACCAAGAAAGACATGGCTGGATAAAGTGTATAAGATTCTCAGAAAGAGAGAAGATAAGACGATTAAAGAAAACCCAATCTATGATTTGATATATGTACGTGGTGGAAGCAAGGATGGGTTGCAAGAGTTATCATCATAATGTGGACTAGATTTTGTTAGACTTCCTTTTCTTTTACTGTCTATTAATTTCTTTTACTTACTACCTCTTATACTTTTTCCACTCTTTCTTTGCATATTATGGATTTATATGCAAAGGAGTAATATCATGGATATATATATGTATGTATCTTGCTTGCTATGGATTGGAAAGTGTGCTTTTCCCTAAACCAGATTCAGATAAAGTAGGGAATTTTAAATGTTGTTTCAGATTGAAAGACTTAAGTAGGCATTTAATATTTTAACTGAAATCCACAGGGAGACATTATTCATTCCAGCTGTATTCTGCTTTCAAAGTTTAAGCAAAGAAAAAGGAAACCTACCCTGCAGAAACTTTTAGTTAGGGTTAGGGTTAGTTTCTGCTTCTCCAGGAATTCTGGAGGTTAAGTCCATATCTGAGGGAGGAGTCAAAACTAATGAAATCTGCTCTAAATGTTCATCCTTGAAAGGTGCATTCATCATCACAATCACCATTAAATTCCTCCAGTCCTAAAGTTCATGTTTATTTGGATAATATTTCACAAAGCATCAACACTTAGTAAAAGCAATTTATATCTACAAAGGTATATAGCAAAGGTTAAGTTTATTTATTTTATTTAAAGCTTATGTATCAAACCTACTGTGATAATTAAACTACATGACTAATTCTTATTTCCAATAATATCTCTGTTTCCTTATTTAGCTATGTCTTACTTATTCTGGCCTCTGCAGTTTCACATTCATGGCTTATTCTTAGTAAGAATTTTGAAAGCTGTATGCGTGGCTTACACCATCAAAGGTTAATTGGAAGTTAAAACTGAAGAGCAGTTAACTATATATATAAACTTTTCTGAGGGGAATTTCTTTTACATGGAGCCAGTTTTGATGGCTAGCTATATGCTGAATGACACGGCATTATACACTATTATAATATTTCATAGTTCCTGCAACTGGAAATTATAAAAAAAAAATAAAAGTCCAAACTTCAGATCACATTGCTAACTGATGATCTTCTAAGCCTTAGATGATTGGAGAGAAGAGATTGTTTCAATGGTTGTACTGTAGTCTGAGTTATCAAACCATCCAGCAGGAACAAAACAGTCTTAACTGATCAGCTCTTAGCTCATTAATGCCAAAATACTCTTACTAAGGGATTAAATTTAGGATTCATCATCTTGTCTGAACTAAAAATGAATAACTTTCCTTATTAAAATGGAAAAAGAATAAAGAAAGTTATTTTCCTCCTTTTGTAATGTATTTATTTTTTAAAATCTTTTATATGCAATCCAGAGTCACAAACTGTAAAGAGGAAGCCTTATAAACCTTTTAAATAAATAAGCAGTTAATTTCTTACGAAAGTATTTCCCAGGACAGATAAAGGATTCCAAGTGTGAGCTAGAGTTAGATTTAATTTATGGTTAGAACTATTTCAACACCATTTTTTATCCAGCTTAGGAAAGTCCAACAACAATTCAGGAATACAAAAGCAAACAAGCTGTATTGGAACTTGATATATTTTAAGAAAGCCAGCTGCCTTTCCAAACATCATTATTCAAACCAGTTTAAATATGACAGCAATAAAATCACCACTTTTTAAAACCAATGCAAATGACAGCATGACCCATAAATTACTAAGTACTTATTTCAATTAGAGATTTAAGCATGTTGTTCTTAATTTTGGTTGGTTTTTTAGTGTGTTTTTATTTTTTTCAATTGTTTGCCACCCAGAGTCATGCAGATGAGATGGGTGGCCACATACATTAAATAAATAAGCATCAATAGCGTGACATACTGAAATCAAAGGAGGCTATACGTGTTTGTGGCCCATAGCATGTCTGCTCAGAAACATATCCCATTGATTTCAATTTAACTTATTTCTTGGTAGGTAAGGATTACCTATACTATACTTACTATAATGTCTTAGTAACATTATTTGGGAAAGGACTATATTTTTTAATCTCAAAACTTTTATCTTGGAAGCAGCACTGAGTATGCATAACAAGGGATCGCATGAGAAACTTTGATCTGTGTATTAAGAAGTCCATTCATTCATTCATTCATTCATTCATTCAGCAGACTTATCCCCGCCCATCTCCCCCCAATGGGGGACTCTGGGTGGTTTACATCAAATTAA